ATGTGTGATAAAAACGCCAAACTGGAGTCAGACAACAGAAGAAAAGAGTTGACCACGGCTGCAGAGACACTCAGTGGAACAAAGGAGAATGCTGGACGCTTTGCAGACTCCGACACCTTTGATTATTTGGTGATTTCCGGCAGCGCGTACAAGCACAAGGATGTCTAAAAGGCAACACGGCTTCTACCAGATAAGCACACCTGAAATCAGGTTAACTCCACCTGAATCTGAAGTGAGTGGAGACGCAGCGTACTGAACACAAGATGGAGAAGAGAAGCAGACGTTGGTTCATATCACTCACTATCTAGTGCAGAGAACCTTCAAGATCAAGTCGAAAGCATTCAAGGAAGCCACAGACAGGTCACAATTCAAGTTCAACACTCAAAACCCGAAGGAAGAAGTTGTAATGGGCACCTTCACTGCAGTCATTGGAGAAACATCAGGGTCATTAGACAACATCACGGCGTAGGATTGAATGCATTATGTAGTTTTTTTTAGTTGGTTTTATTTTTAGGAAAATTTTTTGTGGACATCTAGACACTCTGGTTTGAATATCTGATTATATGATAAAAAATTTTCTCCTGTCTTTACATTTTGAATATTTTCTGGATTTTCGGGAGACGTTTCCTCTTATTTTTGCTGGTGTCTATTCTTTGTTAAACATATATTTTTTCTTTCTTTTTATTTTCATTATATCGTGTTAAACGGGATTTGATTTTATGTACACTTACTCCTTCGGAATTTCAGTTTATGGCTATGTGCATGAATAGTTATTCCCGCATAGTTTTCGAGATCTGTCATCGTATTCAAATCTGCTAATCTAGATTTCGTTAAGGTTTGGTGATCCACCAATATAACTGAACCAAGTCGACTCATTTGATATATATATCTATTATTAAAATCGCTCAGATTAACTGACCTATGTGAGTTCGAACGTATCTGTTATTCCGGCATTCTTAACGACTCTATGCAAGCTTTCAGAGGTTTCCTCTCTACGGTAGCACTTACTTGGTGCTGTCAGATTTCTGTGTATGCTTGCCATTCATGTCGTCTTTATAATTATAATTATTATAGTTTCCTGATTCATCAGGGTAAATATTAAGTGCTAAAGCTTGCGACAAATGAAATGTAAGAAGCAGAACTATGACAGAGAAGATTCGTAGCTCAGGTGGATAATTTGTTTTGTTTGGGTTCTAAGGGAGAAGATGTGGTGCTGGCGAATAGGGGAGTGACAGCAATAAAATGTTTTCTCCGGACGACGAGCAATACATGTATGTTATCCCATCGGGTGAAAGAGTGGAGGTTAGAAAACGTCAGTAGGAATACCTACTCATCACATCGGTAAGATGTGTTTACGGATTCAATTCCAAATATGTCGTGTCTGGCCGACAAGTATCAGGTGTCCCTGTTGTCTGTGGCACACGCTCTTCCTGTCTCAGGTATTACAAGAAGAAACCAACTTCACAGTTTGGCAGCCCAAGTGTGAGCAAAGAGGGTCTTTCTGATCACCAACCACCGTTATTCTCTATCTTTCCTCCCACTATTAATACTATTCCACAAGTATCCACCCTCTCTTAATACTGCGACAACTAATAGCAGCTGGAGCACTCCTGACAGTCTCGTGAAACCAGGCTGCCAACTTTATATGGAAGCATTCAACATCAGGACTTTTTGAAATCTCGGATAACAGGCCTCACTAGTCATGGATGTATATTCCACTTCAAAGTCGAGCATACAAGATCCAAGTGTGGTTATTCACTTAACTCCACATGGATTACATGTTGAATCTACAAAATACAGGTGTCCAGCTGGACTGATCCATTTGGATAAGGAGGGATTTTAATACCAGTAGATGTGCGTTCATAATCTCCACGTCTCGAACGGCTGCATTTCCGATGAGTCCTACCAATAGCTGTCTAATTCTCTGCTGAAAGTAAGATGCTCATCCATAGTCATTTCAGTGGGTGACTTCAGTGGTGAAGTAGCCAAGTTGTACCAGTCAGAAAAGTATGTCGCTGGTCCCTAAGGCTGCCGACACCGACGAACCGGGAACGTCGATTGTCCTCCACAGTTCCGTTTAGATATCCATTTATTTCGAGTCAGCACTGAATACAAACATAAGGATAAACGTATCTTAAACTGGAGACTTCTAACATTAAATCAATGATGAACTCAAACAAGTCATGTAGCGAAAGTTATTGGTGGGAAAAGTCAGTAGAAGTCCACCGCTCCTTCTGGAACACGTATGTAGAGTCTGAACACACACTAGCCCCTTCACACATATACGTTTGACTAAACGGAACTAAAATGCAGGCAGCTACATAGGTGATGGATGTTATTTTATGGTTGGTAACTGCGTGTAGCTTTTTAGCTGAACTTGTTCCTAGACTCTTCTCTTATTTGAGTCGACTAGTCTAGATTTCGCTGAGTTTTTGCACTCCGCTCATTTGACCTATGTGCTCGATCTCAAACTCATTTCGGGTTATTAGATAAACTGTTCTATTTTGTTTAATGGTCTGCACGTGATTCTTTGTCTGATATGATTCATTTCTGATTGAGTTTGTATACCACTTTTATTCCTGCGTTTCTCTAAGAAGCCTACGTAAGTTTTGAGGCATTTTCGCTTTGGATGGTGGCAGTTCTTTTTGTTGTCGTTTTTGCAATTTATGTGGTCCTTTCCATTAATATGTTTACAATTCCCTACATCCATTTACCAGGTTAAGTAATAAGAACCAAAGCTTGCGACAAGTGGGACTAAGAAGGATAGCTGTATGAATGGTGTTTTGAATTTGTTTAGCCATAACTGATACGATTATATACGATAATTTGTGTTCGAAGGTAATGCAGTAAATGACACTGAATGAAAATGTCAACATGAAAGAACATTTCTATCGTAAATTTACTAACCGATAGTTTCTACCTTGGCGTGTTTGTTGTTCTCGCAAATTGCAATGACTCGACGGTTAGACTGGCTGGAATAAATGTTGCCGCAGGTCCTACAGCCCTAGGAATGTTGATTCGATAGCCATCAGACTGGAAGCACTTACCACCATAATGTGATTCCTCCACACTAGGTGTGAGGTCTTAGCTTGGAACCGTACTGCCAAGGAATAAAGTAACAGCAATAAAGTTTCCCTCCACTGACGAGCAAAATAGGTACTTTACTGTGTCTCTCTATCGAGAGGAGCTGAGGAAATTCAGATCTGCAAATGTGTTTCCCTTGAGTCATGTGGAGGTAGGTGAGTCAGTGGGGTAGAATTCTTCTTATAGGTATTTGAAGGATTAGTATTTTTAAGGTCCCCTATCTCATCATTATCGTTTGCTGTGGTATACTACATAGCAATGAACTGAGGAGACAATGAATGAACATTTGGATGAGATATTAAGCCATTTCTGTTTATTTTTGGGACTTTTGTCAATCTTATTTATATATATGGATTACAATGAAGTTTCCTTAGAAAGGCACAATGCGATAACACTACATTTGTCTGGGTTATGATGGACGCTTAGTATGAGCACTGTTAATGCTTGTCAGCTTCTGGCGTGATTTGCGACCTGTGACTTCACGGCTAATAAGCAAGCGCCTATATCTCATAGTCTATGTCTCGGTTATTGAAAGCTCGTTATTTTTTAATCTTATGAATTTACGATTACAACCTCAAACTCTAGGAGTTTATTGGTGGTTAGAAAGTTTGTTTTGGTGAGAAGTGACCACTGTTTTCCTCATTACAAATTTCCTTAGTGTTAAATTCTCACTGACTGTTGCCTGAGGTCATTGAGTATTTCGAATTATTGCATGCTTCAACGATTCTACTCATCTGTATTTACGTAAATTGTTGTACAAGATTTGTCCAATAGTTCCTGATATGCATCGAAATTCTCTAGTCTTCCCTAATAGGCAAGTAATTTCGTCTCTGTAACCATCAACACATGAGCGCAACAAAAACTGTTTTGATACATTTGGTTCCTTTGATAAATTTCGATAAAGAAAGAAAGATCAGATTTGCAGTATAAAATGACACCATTCCATTTCACAGGTTCTCATCAGCTGCAAACTACCTGAAATTACAATGGTTATAAATAATGACAATAACATACTTCAATGTTTGAATGGTAGTAGAGAATACATTATGAAATCAAGGCATTTGAAATATAAGCATTACAGTTTTTCATCCAAGTTACCATCAATTTATATGCCTTCAGAATAGAAAAGGAGGGGAGAGGAGAAGGCAGAAAAATCTAATAAACAGTGTAAGCTTGTAGGTTTACATAGCAACTCAAGAAGGTTATAGTTGATACAATTGAAAACTCGCTCAATGAGCTAAAATCACTAATACGGATGACTAACCAATGTAATCAAAAGGCAGTTACCAAGGGAGTGAGAGATTGATTACTCTTTCTGTAGGTATAATTTCGGTTTGAAGCTCTTGATTGCAACTGCCTCAGCAAATCGTAGTAAGTTTGCTGTCCCTTGTTTGTTTAGTGTTTTGTAAGAATCGAAAATCTCGACTAAACGATGCATATAACCATTGTAATTTCAGGTAGTTTGCAGCTGATGAGAATCTGTGAAATGGAATGATATCATTTTAAACCATAAATCTGAACTTTTAGTGGAAAACTCTTCAACCTTGTATGATATTTAATACTTGATCAAGGATGTTTGAAACTGGCTTTCTTTCTCTACACGAACTGGTTTCACTAATAGTGGATGGAATAATAATGAAAACGAATATTTTGAAATTATAGTAACCAAAATGCTTCCTCCAAAAGTGTTACACAATTTATATTCTTTCTTCTAAGCGGAAAGGATCAGTGGCTGAGAGCATTTCAAAAGAGCTGCTACATTTGTTGGTCTGATGAACAATTTGTTATTATCTTGAGATACATAGTGATGCTTACTACTAGGCATTATAATTTTTCTAGTACCGACATGTAGTTCTGCCAGTAAGATATACTTTATTTGATCCCCAAAATCGAAGGGGTTGCTATATTTATCTTGAAACAGTATGAATCGGAAGGTCACAATCATCAGTATCCTTTTAATTACCATAGTTTCTTCAGCGTACTACTGGTATTCATAGCTAATACTTATACCTTTTTGTGGATCCAAAGTCTATCAGTATATTACGATACAACATTTCTACTTATTTTCGCTGACTTTTCTCAAATATGAATACTATTTCATTTTACCAGTAATATAAAAAATAGATCACATAAAAAAGAGTAAAAGTATATTTTAGAAAATATTCGTCATGACTATAATTATTATGTACAAAAATCCACTCGAAATTTGATCAAAATAGAAAATAGCTGTAGGTGTAGAAAGTCACAATTCGTTTGGGTCCCGTAACTCTGGTGTGGGATGAAATATAAAAATAGGGAATTTAGACAAGGTCTATACAAATTATCAGCATAATGCATGACAAGACAAAGTAATAGACAACAAGAATACTACTTATTATCTAATCAGTATATAATATATGCGTAACTTTTACCTATTTTGGATAGGTATACGCGATATGTATTGTAAGACACTTAAAAAAGATGCTAATTATCTTCTGCTGATTCCTTTCAGACATTTCTCCTAACAGCTATAGTTGTGGTCATTTCATTAGAAAAGCAAATATATTCACGACCAAGATGTTTGTTTTAATTTTTATTTAGTTGAATATCAAGGCAGCTATCAACATAAAGTGAGTTAACAGATTAAGTGTTTGCTCTTAACTAAATATAAACTAAGCATTACAAAGTATTCATACAACAAATAGACTAGCTTTGTTCATTCTATTAAGAAAACTTAGCACTGCTTAGTGCTTATTCACTGACAATTTTTGGTAATTGCTTTGCAAGCTACACTTTACTTTAAGACTCTGGAGTGAATATGTGAAAAAATTTATTAATGTATATATATATATATTACCTGCTGAGGTTTCCACTTGGCTCCCCCTTCCTTCATCCAGACATCCTATGAAATAAAAAAGTATGCATAATTTCTCTAATCCATAATGTATGACAATGAAGAAGGGAAAGCAAGACGACACTCTAGAACGATAACCTTAAGTAGCGATATAGAGACACGTACTAAAATCACTGGATTTGTCTAGATCTTTGCAGCAACTCAGTTATGTGGTCGAGGTTTTTCTTGTACCAAGACATAAGTTACAACTATTGTGTCAGGGCTGGTGATTCAAACTTGGGATCTACTGTCTGAAAGGCAAATGTTAAAAGTGCTGCGCCACATCTTTGCAGCACATCATGCTAAATGATTAATTTAGAACCCCACACGGGATTGTTTCACGCTTAATAAGTCTATATTTATGCTATTTAAAACAGACGACAATGAAGATCCCTAACTCTTGATTTGAAGTATTTATAGACTTAACGTGAATTTCTATAGATAAAGAATCAACTGGTGGATTTTGTGGAAGTTCTTCAATTTTACTATTCTGACAACTTTTCTACTACTTCAACGTCAAACTGGACAGCACCTAATTATGCTCAAAAACAAATAAATCTACTTTAACGAAACTATTTATCAGTTCAAGGTCCTACACTTTATAAATATCAGTAACTAGAATGTAGAAGTAACAGAAATATCTGTATGGCCACTGACTTGCGAATTTATTAGCAACTTTCTCAAGCACAGACGACGTTGAGAAGATAATAACTGTCATACGCCTCAGTCTTTCACAAACCTTTTAGTTTCGGTAGTCACATTTCGTATTCACATGGTTTAAAAGAACATTGTTGAGTAGTACAACTAATCCTTAATGGACAAAAGAAAATCCTTCGTGCACTCGAAAATCAATAGATTTTGTGTCTGTGCCCATATTCCCTGGACTACTGGTGCACTATTACTGAATATATTTTCTTTATAAGTGCGCTCCACCACTACATTCCCAATAATCTAATAGGATATCATAACATTCTTTAGTAACAGTTTACACTCGAGGTCAGAAACACACCTTAGACATTTTACTACCTCTCAGAGCCCACATAAGACTGTCTCATATTAATGATTATATCAAACAAACTAGAAATAAGTACTTCAAATCTACTAAAGAATCTAGCATACGAATATTGGTCTATGTTACCTTATGTGTAAAAAAGGGTAAACCTGTGTAAGCCGGCTACATAAAATGAAGAGTAAAAATTCATGATGTATATCATTTGGTGTAGACATCTCAGTTTTAGATTCTGATTCAAACATCGTCGTTGGAGCACGTAGCTTTTAACAATGAAACGAACACCCACTAATTAGATGAGTCATAAGAGCATTTGATTAGGTTAGGTACATGAAGCTTTCAGGTCAACAGATCTAAAACGTTTAGAATCAGTAGATATAGATACCTTCTGGGGTTTGACACTTATCTGGTGAATCCGTACAGTTACGCAATTTTCATGGAATTAGAATGTTTAGAAGACTAAAGGTGCAAATAAGTATTATACAAAATTCAGTGAATTCCTAATGACGCAAGAGCTGAATGCGCCAGTAAATAAAAAAGGATGGAATGATAGAATTGTACAATTTGTGTTAATAATGGTAGCTAGAGGTGGAGGAAACTCACACAATCCAACATCAAATGTAACTCAGAAACCTACCTTGAGAAGATTTATCAAGAACATTTTCCCGACAAAGATAATCGTAAAGACTTTTATTCTGATTATTGAAAAACCATTCCTCGATAGTATCCTGATACTCACTAACAAGCGGAATACACTTTTGAATAAATTATTGTTCATTTTAGTATACCTCTTTGAATAGGGCTGTAACTTCCGCTGATGGTTTATCCCATAACTCAAAAGGGATGTCCAATTTCACCTCAACACCACGGTTTCTATAGGAGTTAATCAAAGAACAATAAAACCTACACTAATTCATTGAGGGATTTCATTGTCTGAGGCATACTCTTATCAAATCTAGTACTATCTTGTCGTTCTTTATGCACTTTATACTGGAGAAGTCGATTGCAAATTGGGGGATCCTCTAGAACTTCAAGAAGTCTAACTTCTCTATAAATAATTAAGATTAGTTATAATGTATACAAACGATGTGTCGTATTTAACTTTCTTTGAATTTCCACGATTAGAACCAATGTCCAGCGCATCACTTGATTTTGTTTCTTGGAGCCGGATAAGTATTTCTGTTACGAGAAGCTTGCAAACTGTATTTAAGATGAAATCATATTCTAACCTTCACACTTGGAGGGTAAGATAACGCCTGTATTATCGTCCCCCATAGCCCCCAAAAGTAAAACCAGCAGAAAAATAAACCCTAGATTTACGTTCATCTGATATTGGTGTAATCTGCAAATGTGAGGTCAGTGGAGATATAATGCACAGACTTGATTGTAGAAGTTCCTCCAACAAGCACGAAAATCTGTAGAGGTGAAAAATACCACATTAGCACATTATAGCAATCGAAAATTAAAAATACATGAGCTTAAGTGGTAGATAACGTCGAAGATAAAACATGAAGCAGAACGAAACTATTAGCTCAGCCAAATGTGAAGTGCAATAAAATTTCTACCACACTATATGTTAACCGGCGCTTATCTTAATATGATTAATTTACAGAAAAGCAGCCCTTAATTGAATCTTAACAACTAATCTAAACAAGTTACAAACTCGTTAGTTTGCTAATAAATCGTTAGCTTTAGTGCCTACACTGGTCAAAGGAATTATTTGGCCTTATCCTAAGTCTAATCTAACCCTTAACTTTACCAAATGCTAAGACAAGCAGCAAATTGTGAGCAAAAATTGCACGACATCTATGGTTGGCTACATCGATTTCCAAAAGATAATTGTTGGTGGTGGCTGCTGTTCTATAACTTAACCATTAATCCTGAGCCTCTTCAACAATCTTTGGAAAAGTGACTTGAACAAAACAACTCCAACAGTGGTGTGAACACGGGCAGTAATTTTGCTCGAAACATTATCAATAACAAAACTTATCATTGTGTATAAACTATTGAAATATAATTATATTTAGTACAATTCTGTTATACAAAAGATTTCTAAAGATCTTCACAGACCTGTAGTCACAGGTAGATCCTGTACATAGTTCGTCTGACAAATATATAACTCTCAGAAGATTCGGTAAGTTTTTTTTAAAATTACTCTTCACTTTCAAGTAATTTCGACGAAACGAAGGCAGCTGAATTTATGATGCGGCAACTGTACTCACCACTTGTTGACTGTAATCTGACGACACTAAATGCGCCAGTCAAAGTAGGACCTAGCACTAAGCTATCATTCATAAAAAATATGCCCGCTTTTAAGAAACCTAGCATTAGATTGGTTGCAGAGAGCGTACCCACCCACCTAAACTTTTGGGATATGGTGACTTCTAATCTGACACTCATATTTTCCACGACCCAGTCAGGGGTCACTAAGGCTCAAAGTAATTAAACACTTCCTAAATAAAATTACTTTTCAAACTGTCTTTTTCCAACGACGCAACGAACAGTAAAACTGTTTTATGTAAACTATTAGACACAGGTCTACCAGATAAGTGTCGACTGAGAAATTTCTTAATGGACCACATATTCAGTACGTATTTCTCGCGTTTGTCCAAAAGTGACAAAAGGCCTTCAAGTAGACCAAGATGTACGACTGCGTCACACATGAATACTGTTATTCAATGTCGTACTGGAATCGCGAGTTTTTCCTCAGCAGTGTGGACAAGGCAACTATCACGGGGAACAAAAGAGCATGCGTCGAACCATAACAGGCTGAAGATACAAAGCAGAAAACCACGAAGGCTTTGGTTGGCATCTACACAATTTTCATCTGCCGTATTTTCAGACCTTTGTGGGTTTGGAGTCTGAAGAGATGGAGTTGACATATAAGCAAGGCCTCCGATATCAATCCCCAGTGAACTATTGCCAGCTCTTTTATTAGAATGCCTTCTTAATCCCAAAAATATCGCTTTTGAAATTTAATATCGCGAGATGTCGGGGATTATTTTGTTTAACATAAGAAACTGGTGCGTGAATAACACCGTGTGTCTATCATACCTAAATTCCGGATAACATAGGTTACTTAATATGTAATTTAGGGCGGACTTTTGATACCAATGTATGGAATTCAAAAGCAGTGTAGACATTTTTGTTGCACTACACCGAGCTTAACAAATTCGGATATATAAGTACCGCACCGGCAGGTGAGATTTTCATTGCTGGATTGTTACATTTTTGCAGGAACTCGAAAAAGTGACATCCTGGAGAACATGGACACTACATATGCAAGGTTTTTTGAGGAGTTTGAGAAGAGTTGACGTATTAATACGCATAGCGAAAGAAATACGGAAGGGTAACCGGGAATAAAAGGTTCAGAGTAACTGACCTTAAAACTCTAGAATTTGTCTTACGCGCTCAGTATTTTGCCTATCAACCTTGAAAACGTAGTATTTGTGAAACTTCCTTTTTTCATTTATCTGCCGTGGAAGACGGATGAAAAGATTCCTGATATTAAGTTTACTTTTTTTAGTGGAGATAGTACTGAATTAGTTGTGAAATCTGAGCTTCTTGATTTAACTGTGAAGCTTTCGTCGTCCCTTTAGAAGCTCAATCTAGTATTTGCTCACTTTCTCATGGGTTGCTGCAAGGAACTACAGAATCACTTACTAGCTGAGTACTTGCGCTTGAGGGGTACTCTGGTCATCTCTAATATTGTTAGGTGGCAACAGCTAAGTACGAAAAGACTAAGTATCCTCAATCTTTCATCATATGGTTAATTCCGAAGACCCACAACCCCTCTTCATGGTCCCCCTTTGGACCCTTTTAAGTAACGGGGCAGCAATATATTGCACACCTCAGGATTCTTTTGTGTACATGTTTTTTGCAATCTTAGGAGAGGCTGAGGAGTAAGCATGACCACATACACCCTTACCACATCATCGAGGTAATCTCCATGAGGACCGGTTAAGAACTTCTGCATGCTACTTAAGAAGAGATAGTCAAATTTCGCTACAACCTGGGGACCTTACTGAGTGGAAATTTCGCAGCTTCCCAAGAACCACTGCAGGGTTTATGCGAATTGTAGTCATCAGGTTTTCGCTGGGCAATGTAGCAGTGTGAGTACTGTGGTTTATGGTGATGATGTTCAAAGTACTGTTAAGTGGACTGTCAAAGATCAGACTGAATATTCCAGCCACCTCAAAACTAATGAGATGCATACCCCTTGGTTAGTAGGCTTTCTTTCCAACATGAACTGGTTCAGCATTGGGGTTTCTTTCAGAGGTTTTCTAGCAACAACTACCTGAAAGTTCCTCCAACCATCCCGGATTCTTGTGTTGCGTCTGCTCCGATTTACAAGGATTCCACATGGTGACTCCAACTCCTGCATAGTCACAGTATTTATCAAGCTTTCCTCTTGGCTTGTTGCGTGTAATGTGTAATGTAACCACAACCAAAGAACCGGGCCGCATGGTCGCTGCTATAAAAGAGATCTTGACCTGAAGTTTTCCACTGGTGATTTATCAGTTTGGATATCATCCAGTTTCTATGACTTTTCGCTGGGCTCATGCGTAGTGCTGTCTCCAGCATTCCTAGTCAGCCCGCCATTTCTGATGGTTTGTGGCAGATTTCGATCAAGTTTTCCCTTGAAATTCCCAACTTCAAGCAAAGGAACTGAACAGTAAACCCTCCAGATATGATCATCGTAATTCACACCCCATGTTTCGCATCTCCGTAGTAATTCTGTGCAATGACACAGGATTGAGTTTGGGGGCTCATCGAAACTGCTCATCGACATAAACGGCAACGCCATCACCTTCTTTATGATCCCTCTCGTTTCACTAAGACTGTATTGTTTACACTGACTTCCTTGTCGGTGGTGATGGGGTTTCGCAATGCTTCTGTCAAACATCATTATCCTGAGATCAAGGCAGAATTGCAGGTTACTTAATCAAGCTATTTTTCCCCTCAGTCACTTCACGCTGATATATGGACAGCCTTTCTGTGGGGTGACTGGCACCGAGTATAGTGCCGAGTGGGCAGTTAATGTTCAAATTAGTTGGCCGATTCCCATGGAACCGACCTGTTGTCAGTTACTCTCTCAGGTTTAATTAGGTGACGTTGTCTGTCGTCCTTCTCGATATTGCACTGTTGGGTAACTGAGGCATGGAGACGTGCTATTTTCCGCTTTCTTAGGATTAAAGGTAGGCTTCACAACACGGAATAAGTCAACTTGCCAAACACCATGATATTATGATTTTATATCTCACCCATCTCTGCTGTTGCTATGGTAATGTTTATCATTAAGGCTGACCACTTGATATATTCCATTGGACCATCTGTGGATTCTATGTAGAATAATGGCTGATGCACTCACGCCAACTTAGATATCTACCATACCTCACGGAGACCACAACTAAGTGGAGACCGCAAGGAAAATACTTGGTTAAGTTGTTTCTTACCGGCGGACGGGTGTCTGCTAACTTGTCGTTGTGTCCACCTATGACGCGAAAGAGGTAGGAAGATGCCAGTTAAAGAAGTAAACAATTTCACCCCAGCCTGGAGAATGCTTCACTACCCACACGAAAAATAAAGAAATGAGCAATCGACAAATGCAATAATAAAATGTCAAGGTATGTCCGCAGGTAATCTTCTCACAAATTTGGACTTTCAGAGATATTCTGTGATATTAAAAAGCATGGACCTAGTTTTATTAAACTCATAATTGGTGTAATATTATTTTCCCTTGTTACGTTCCTTTTCATGAAGCATACTCTTAGAGAAACTCGATTATGGGCAAAACAGGATGAATTTGACTTGTAGTTACCGAAGTTTAGTTTGCTGTACACTGAAAATTCTGTGTTTTCATTATTTCTATTCCTCAGGTCCAGCCTTGGATTAATAATGAAGAAGTGCGGTTCGATTTTTTGAATTTAATTTCCAAGTACTGTTTCGTAGGGATTTTGTTTGATTGCTTGGAGGATTGCATCATGAGCTGACATCACTTAGAGAACTGCTTGAAAACCCAGGGGTACTGACCAGCTGATTCGTGAATCACATTTGCCAGGCTTGTGGGGAAAACTATTAGTGTATCTCAATAGGGATCAAGTGAATTTACGTATTAAGATATTTTTCACGAGTCAGAGGGTTCAGCCCATTCCGTTTGCCAGTCTTAGTAGTTTTGTATTAGTTTCGGTGCCATTGACTTCCGTTTGCAGAAGTATTTGTACCACTATGCAGAGAGGATTGTCATCTGGTTGTACCGGTTTTGGCCTCTCAATGTTAACACTGTCCACGTCATTGAGTAACAGAGTTTTGCAAGGGCCTGGCCGTGACTTTTGAGGGTCCTTCAGATAGTGGACTGAAGGGTGGTTGTGTTTTATCACACTCCACCCGTTCATGGGATCAGGAATCCAGTTACTTTGGTACGTGAGCTGCTCTTGATTGTCCTCTTGACGGAATAGGCCTTCCTTCAAATGGGTAACTTAAGGTAGTGAGGATATGCTTTGATTCTTCGGAGATCTTTTGATTTTCTTTAAGTGCTTTGAAGTGTACAGTGGTTTTTGTTTCATTGTATTCAAGTGCGTTTCGGACAGTGTATCAGCAGCACAGTTCTTCGTCCCTTTTAAGTGTCTTACATCACCGGTAAACTGTGATATAAAATCACAGTGACTAATCCCACGTGGTGAGTATTTATCCATTTCCTCACTGAGTGCGTAAGTGAGAGGCTTGTGATCTGTGTAGGTCGTGAATTGTCCAGCCTCTACCATATTTCAACCGTGTTTAACTGCTAGGTAAATTGCTTGTAACTCTCTGCCAAAATTACAATATCTCGTTTCTATAGAATCGGGACGTTTAGAGAAGAATGTTATTGGTTCGCAGCTATTTTCTGCCGGCTGGTTTAGAGCTGTTCACACGGCTTCACTGATGCGTCTACTGTTAATTCAAGAGGAGCATCTGGATTAGGATATTTCAGGTTTTTGGCGTTTGCCAACAATTCTTTTGGCTATGTAATTGCGTTGATCGCCTCTTCTGCCAACTAAAAGTTTTTCGATCATCCCTTAATACACCAGTCAGGGCTGCATGTAATTTGCTCATTCACGAATAAAGATTGGATAGAAGTTTATCAACCCCAGAAAGCTCCAGAGTTTTATGCATGAAATGGGCAACAGACACTGCTTCATGGTACCCACTTCTTTGTGCATTGGTGCGATTATGGTACCGTCAGTGGCATACCCTAGGAGCTGTGTTGTTTCTGCCCCCAAAACGCATGATCGACTGTTATACCATCATCTTCTGGTTTGCATAATACCCCCAAACTGATCCTCATGTGTGTTTATATCCGGGGTGAATATGAGCATTTCAAATGTGTATAATTCGGTGAACGGCAGTTCACGAAGCGTGTCATCTTTAGAAAGCTTGTGCAGCACTCAAGAGACTAAATGACATCTGCAAAACTCATGTAGGCGCGAATTAGGTTAATTCTGGTAAATATTTTGGCACCTCGAAAACTACTAGTTAAGTCTTGAATGTGTGGTTCTGGGTATCTATCTCGGACGGTTCGCTTGTCTAGGGCTTTGCTATCACCACAAGGGTGTCAATCAGTCCTATTTTTCTTAGGTAGCTTGTGTGACAGAGAAGCTCGCTGACTGTTAGTGGGTTAGATAGTTCCCAGCTGAAGCATATAGTCAGATGCAGATTTCGGTATCCTTATTTTGTCCTAGGTCAATCTTTCTCGCTTAGCGAATACTGGGTTGCCATGTATCCTCATGGTATGAGTATTTTTCGGGCGAGCCTTAGAGTTTCTAGGTTTGCTTACCGTAAGCATCGAAAATTCCGCCAGTATTTTCCGGAACCTTTTGTTCGATACTGGCGGAGGTCGTGCTCACTTGTTTGGACACTCGTACACCAGGGGATTTCTCTCATTGTTAAACATCTCTTTTGACTGTCCGCAAATAGATCATATCTCTCTAGGAAGTGTGTGCTGATAACTGTGAGGTTTAAATTGGCAACAGTGAACACCCATGGCAGCTGCTGCTTAAAATTCGAGGTCAGAGTTTTCTACCAGAACGTTGCGATCTGAGTTTCAGTGGCAACCTGTTGCGTGAAGGGGGACGTTATTCAACCCGTCGTGGCTCTAGCTTCGGGCGGGATACTGAGTCGAGTCTCTGTACCAGCCAAGAAGTCTGTGCCAAAGTGTTTCCCTTGATGTAGAATAGGTGATTATCCGGGTACTCCTTCGCAATGGCCTGCACCGGAAGAGTAGTGCATCGTTTCCCTACCACTTGTGAAGTGGTTTAGGCCAGGTGCATGGTTGTGTGCACCTTAGTGTCTGTGTGCCAAACTTCAGTGTA